GGCTTGGGCGGTGGGATCACGGGCTGAATCCGGTGTTGGAAACTGCTGGAAAAAACGCTTGGACAAGTCATCATGGTAGCAAGCTGGCAAACTGTAGACATGTTCCAAAAGATCTGGGCGGTGTGTTTCCAACAAACGGAATAGTGCATAGGGAAATCCACGGTGTGATCTTCGCAATAACAGTTCAACACTGCAAGCCTGGCCAGACAGAATGCGGAAGGAAAGGCTTCTGCAGTACCTGGTGTAGGATGAAAATGGAAGCACAGGTGGTGGTTTTGCAAGGATGTCCTGAATATCGCTGAAGCACTGGGCGATAGAAGTGCCAAGTGCAGCTTCGAGCACTCGGAAATTCATCACCTTGTCCTGCATCACATTGGATTCCTGCTCTTCATCAAAGTCCTTGCTTGCTAAGTGCAAAGCAAAGTGCAGCAGGCGCAGTCCAGGCCTCACACACATACAAGTGACCATCAATTGATCCCAGAACTTTTCGCAAGAAAGAAATGCGCCCGCTCTCAATTTCACTCCACGATTGAAGTCAGCCCAACTTTGACCCTCCAGTTGATCACTTGCAAGTGTTTGCCCAACTTCATCATGAGGGTTTGGCTCTAGGCCTTCATTCTCGCCACGGTCATTGCTTGTACCTGAAAACATTCCATTCGCAAGGTCTCTCCATGCCTTGAGCTCCTCCATGTCAACGTCCTCCATATTTGCAGAGTCTCCCTGAAATGCTGCCAACAATGAGGTAGTCTCCGTCTCCATTCTTTGCACTGGTTTCTGGACATAGCCTGTGAACTTGATGAGTAGTAGCTGATGAAGATTCCAGAATCCCGATAGGAGTGCAAGCCAAGAAAATTGTGCATCACAGCCGATCCAACTCTTGCGCTTCAAAACTCCCATTTTTCGGGGGAGCAAAGCCCAGGTCACTTCACTAACAAAGTGTTGCATGGTGTCCTCTGGACTTTTGCAGCATCCAAAACCACAGAAATGCACAATCTCGGTTTTCTGCAAATCACTATTTGCAAAATACTTCAATATCATGCGTCGTTTTTTGGTCTTCCAACTGACTCCACCAGTACCACTTCCTTCTGGCAAGCAAAGATCCAAAAGGGCGTGTTGGTGCCTTGCCACTTCTCCCCCTGGTGGTTCGTCAAATATGATTTGAAGGTGCTCCATGAATATTTCCTGAAGCATTGTTCTCAAAGTAGCAAGGCTTCCAATGGGTTCCATGCTGAGACCTACATTCACTGTGCCAGAGACCACATCGTCCACAACTCGGAGTGCACTTTTTAAGCAGCTGGCCTTCTTGTGAACATCGCAGGGATACTGCAAAACTGTTTGCTGTGGGTTTATCGCCTTCATATGCTGCTCTGCGCGTATATTTGCACCAGCGCGATCTGCAGTGGTCATACGGATGGTAAGTGGAAACTGATCCTGGAAACATTTGAGTCCTGGAATTCTAGCTTCCTGTCTCAAAAGTGCATCCACATTGTTCTCCCCAGTGTTTCTATCAAGGGGCACCATCGTAGTCGGCAGGTCAATGGTGGTCAGGTGGAACTGCTGTGTCCGATACTCTTGAGTCAAGAAACCTGAGTGGCAGTGGAGTCAAAGTCTGAGTCTGAGTCTAAGTCAAGTAGCCCCGAATCTTCCTCGCTAAGTCGCTAAGTCTTGGTCTGAGTGAAATGGTGACTAGTGACTAGTGACTAGTTAGCTACGGCGACAGTTAGTTAAAAGCCCAGGCATTGCAATCTTTGCAATATTCAGGTACCAGGTACCAGGTATCAAGTATATAGTGTATAATATAACTATTTCTTGAATCTGGACCATCTGCGCACACAGAGCCGGATGGGGGGGTGGGGCATGGGGAACCCCGATCCATTGTCTGGAGCATTACAGTTACACTATACTACAATTAAAATGGTACTTGGCTGCGGTCTGGAAACTGAAACTCCACTCAATGCGCTGGATTTTGGCATGGATATACACCTCTTCGCCAACTCCAGAACCGTCAGGTTTGGCCTTAGCCTTAGCCTTGACCTTGTGGGCTGTCTTTTCACAAGAAGTCCATGCTTGCTGGAAAAAGTTGTTGGCTTCAAAAACGCGCATACGTTTCATCATACTTCCACTTTGTCACAGCTGCAACTGGTCTATACTTCTTTCGATTGAACAGTGTAGTCCAGGCATGTAGGAATGCTCCAACCAAGAAGGCAGCTCCATAAGCCAACGCACAGGCGTATTCCAAGATATTTCTTGAAAGGCTCGTTGGTGCCCTGTTGGTAGAACCAGCTTCGCTTTGCATAGACTTGTATGCTGACGTGTGAACAAACTCAGTGGCCAAAGTATCTTCGAGCGTTTGTTGCTGCAAAAGGAGGTCAGCCGAACCTTTCCTTTGAGCACTTCCTACGACCGATGAGAACTCCTGGAACATATTCTTCTGGATTCCCTCACCTAAATATTTTAGGTCATCTGGTGCACCATACATTCTGGAAGAAATATTGCAACCCACTTGGTTACTTGATTCATCTGCTGAGTGTGGTGCAAGTGCAGCTGCAGCTGCACATGTGACTGGATTGAAAAAAGACGTGGGTTGCAGTATGAACTCTTCCCATCCGTCCAGGGACTCTGACTCAGGGGCTGTGGCTGCAGCTGCTTCTCCCAACAAACTTTCATCAACTGCATCAAGTGGCCCCTGCTCAAGCGGTTCTGATGAAGCTGTGCACAACGGTTGCCACTCATCCCAAATAGATTCATCATCAATCTCCATTGCAATGCTACTGTTTTGGGTCTTAGTGAAATCACTAGTCACTAGTCTTAAGTCTCAAGTGTTAACTGTTAAGTCAGTTCAGTTATATAAGTCAAGTTTTGAAGATGACGTTGATGGTTCTTTCCATAGCAAATGTTAGAAAAAATCACAAAGGTAGATAAGCTCTTCAGTGTTTTTGGTCAGACTCGGATGTATAGTATAGTGATAAGTATACAACTATACAAATGTAGTGAACTGAGCCAAAGGCTGTGTGTGGTGCGGCATTTTTTTGCAACCCCGCAACCCGGTGTCTAAATGCAACCCGATCCCAGCCAGCCCTTTCCCGCCTGGGTCGGCTTATCTTCAGCCAAATGCTGGCATCCAGCTTCAGCCGGCACATCCAGTAACCACCATGGTTCCAAGGCTGTGCCGCCATCTTTTCAACAAACCTTAAGCGCGTGGCTAGCGGCTAGCTAGCTGCCAGCAGCTAGCAGCTTAAGGCTTAAAGTTTGAAACACTCTTTGATTCTTGGACTGTCAACTAGAGCCTGGGCCTAGGCCCCAGGCCTAGCGCTTAGGGCCTAAAGGGCCTAGGACCTAGGGCCCTAGGGCTGATCAGGTGTGCCTGGACGTGTCACTGTACCTCTACCTGGTACCTTGAAGAGACCTTCCTAACTAACTTAAATGTAAGTGTACAGTGTACAGTGTACCTGTACCTTGAACGAACTAGTCACTAGTCACTATATTTGAACAACCCGAACCCGGCCCAAGCTTCCCTGGCCCTGCCCCAACTCCAAGGGACGAATCCAATGGAGATGTTTCCACACTGCGGCTTGTCCTCATTCCAAAACCTGTCACCTGTTCGGTGATACCAGTGTGTGGCTCATATTTTGTGTAAAACTTGATGACACTGTCCATAGTAATGGATGTCATACTGTGGGCTGAGATTGAATCATCACAGAAACGCTTGGCCCGACGAGTGCTATAAGGATTACATGGTGATCCAGTCACACCTAGAGTTGGTGATGCGCCATCACAACAGCATTGGCAGCCTTGACTACTTTCATGTAATCCACACGGTGAATCCACCAGCATGTCCTCCAATGTATGGTATAAATGGTTGACGTTGCCGACGTTGTTCTCCATAATGACTTCTTGATATTTCTTGTTTTTTTCAGCTGCACCCAATATGCGGAAAGGAATGCCCAATGCCTGATTTCACCAGCGTGCTTTTTAGAAACACTTGCCGTTTGTTGCCAATGCCATACAATAGATTGAATTCAATATGATTCTGATTCTTTTTCCTGATTCCATAAAAAGTCTTCCAAAAAGTCTTTGGCACTCAGATTCTAGATTCTAGACACTGGTTGCCTTACTTTAGAGTCTTTAGAGTCCTATATAGGTCCTAGAGTCCTAGAGTACCTCAGTACCAAAGAAACAATCTCCATCGACAGATATCAGATATCGACAGTAAAACCCCAGTAGTGCAATCAGGATACCTTCAGGACTTCCGCTTCAGCACAAAGGCCAGAGCAACCAGAGATCAATGTGACTGGAACTGTAGTTGTTTCATGCGCGTGAAAAGTTGTATGCTCTTTGAGAAGGCGCGCCCACCAAAGCTTGGGACCACAATGCATTTCTCTAGCTCTAGATTCTCTAGATGCATCTGCAACAAAAGAGGATATGCAGGATGTGCTATCTGAGCGCACAAACTTGAGCTGCTGCTCTTGTGCATCTTCCTCTGCCTGACTCTTTTCTACAAGGTCCTGAACCAAATCACCCCAATCAGACCAAAGTGAGTCTTCCTCACTGGCCATTGCTGCCATGGCCAAGGCTTTCTGAAGTCCACGGCTACTTTGAAAGAACACAATCCAATGCATTATTCTTTTTCTTTGTTCACGAAAATCATTGGCCTATCAATAACTATATTTGGCCGATGGATGGTACCTGGTAATCTAGATTCTAGATTCTACATTCTAGATCATTCTGGATTATTCTTCCTACCTGTGCCAGATGCCCTTGGCTTGAGATGGCTTCATGCCGCATTCTCCATTCACACCATCTTCAGACACTCATTTTCTACTCTCACATCTATCAAACATGCATTTCCTATACTCAACTAATTGTCATATGTGGTGTATATCTGGGAAGATCACCTGTGGCTAAACGGTTTTCATAATCATAGATGTTCCAGCTTTTGAGTCTCACCATTGTTGCTCCATGTTGCTCCACCGAACGTCGGTTCTGTAACCGTCGACGGCCTCGACGTTGTGGACACCTCCCCGTCGCATGGGCAGCCGCTCGGAGGGCTCCTGGGGAGATGAGATGAGATGAGATGATCTTGGGGTGTGCGATGTCGTTCAGGGGCATGAAGTCGAAAATGGTTGATCAGCGATGCCCGCAGATGATCCTGCGGAACATTCTGCAAGGCAGGACCCATGGCTCTCTATACACATGGCAAGGCTCGGACTTCTTGGGACCCAAGCGGCCCTGTCCTCTTGGCACAGCGCTTGTACGAACTCAGCCCAAGCACCGGGTGGCGATTTGGGGAAAACTACAGCCTGGCGGGGCAAAGAAGCGCGGTGGTTTCATGATGCTTTTCACACTTCTCTCACTTACTGACTCACTGACTCACTGACTCACTCACTGACTCACTCTCTCTTTCCGGGCATGACTCGTCACATAACTGTCATGGCGTGGCTCGAATGCAAGCATTCTTCGATGCTCGGAGCTATATAGGATTCATTTCAAAGAAGAAGCGCAAGGGCCGAGGGAGGTGTGGTAGCCTTGACGTACGTGCCTTGACCAGCTAAATTCGCCTCACCTTGTTAGATCTGTTCGCCAACCTGTTTGCCAACCAACGAATACCTGGCTTGCTTGTGACAGAGACGGGTCCTTCTGGGCTCCTTGTGGGTTCCATGAAGTCCCATCTTTCTTCGGCACAGCGCTCGACTCGCTCAGATGTCCCACGAGTCTTGGGACCTGAATGCCTTGCTTGATGAGTCGAAAGACTTGCATCGGCTCGGATGCTGCAAAGGGCCTCGGATCGGACGTTTTGAGCGAAGCCGACGGCTGCGGTTTGAACGGTGGGACCAAGAGATGTTTGGCGGAAAATAGCAGTGGAACAAAACATAGCAGGCCTATGACATATGAGGTTTCAGGTTCCTGGTTTTACCGCGGCTCCTGTCAGGAAGCGGAGCAATGGCACTCAATGGCGGCTCGAAGTCTTCTACTCTTGAAGTGGAATGATGATGAATGATGTAACAAGAAGCTACGAACAAGGAGGTAAACGGGCACTTTCTCAGCCACCCAGCGAATCTCCCACAACGAGCTCATAGGCGAGGATCCCGAGGGACCACCAATCCACCTCTTGCAAATCTGGTGCAAGTGGCCCCAACCAACATCCAACGTAGACAACTATGATAAACTGACTCGTCCAAACCACACGCAAAATAAAGCATGTCACCATGAGTTCTGGAAAGTGGTGGAAGACTTGCAGTCTAGCGCTCTCGCAACCATCAACCCACAAGAATGGTGACAGCTAGTTTGAGTCATGAACTGTCGCGAGTAAATGGCACATTTATCCCCACCAATTACCAATTGCACTGTGCAGACCAACATGGTCAACTGAGTGCGGGTCCCCAGTCGAATGGCCCATGTGCAGGACCTCAGTAGCGTCATGAGCACATGAAGGATGGTCAAAGGATGTCAAAAGGGTCGCTCATCGCTTTGGGATGGACATGGGAACGCTCATCAAGCCTGAGGAATTCCTATGGATTCCTTACCCCAAACCACACTTAATCCTCAGCATCCCTTGCCCCAAAAATGCAGGTTGCAATTTGGGCCAGCCCCTGAGCTGCCGAACCATCTCTGGGGCGAAGTACTCCGGGGTTCCACAGGTGGTGTATGCATAGCCTGGAGTCTGCGTCCGTCACCAAACCGTAGTCTCCGTCGCCAGGTGGCAAGCTGATGGACAAGCCCCAGAAGTGGCCCCACGTTTGTATGCCGAAATGAAAGCACTTCTTGGATCTTCTTTGATGATCTTCTTGGAACGAATGCACCTACCCTAACCATGTAACATGGATCCTCAAAGCTAAGCACCTCGAAGACAACTTTATTCTAAAAGGTCACTGCTGGGGTTCCAGGTCTGTGCAAAGTGCGCAGTGGCAACATGGTGGCAACATCAGTGCCTATGACGAACTTCGCTAGGCCGAAGTCAGCAACCTGTGGAAGGACGAATCTGATGGAAACTGGAGCAAATGGAGAAGAGACAGTTCTGTTCTTCATTGACATTTGTTTTGATGGGGGCCGCGGGGGGGGATTGGGGGGTGCATAAACTGTCAGTCTCACTCAGTCCTGGCCTTGCAGTAGCCCTTGGAGTCCAGCAAAAGGTTTTCCGGCTTCCTTGCAGCTCTTAATCCAAACCATAGATCAAGCAAGATTGGTGACAAAAAAGTCTCAATCTCTGAAGATTCTTTGATGCCAATTGCATTGCTGTTCCACCTTGCCCAGATCCTGAAATCCCAGCCTAGTTCACGATTCTCGATGTTTTATTCCTGTAGTCTCTGTGCCAGCATGGTAGCGCCAGTCCCTAGAGGCCTTTTCAGACCCTTGTTGGCCAAGTGGCATGTCACGGTAGATGATGTGCCGTTGGTGGAGGTGCTGAAATGCACGCACCACGCATGCAACCTGGTGCGTGCCCAGCACCAGGACTTCTGCAGGGCAAAAGTGGACAGTGGAGCACTAGATGCTCTCATGGAATCAAGAACCCTTTTTGTCTTGGACGGGTGGCCGATCATGGCTGGAAAAAATTCAAATCTCATGGCATCTGCGGCACTGCAGATCAATGAATTCCTTTCTCGGTTCTTCTCAGTGACTGTCCCTAAGGCATGAGGGCAGGAACAAGCAGCACCACCGGAATTATGTCTCTGCCTATTGCTTGGTGAATGCATGATGGTTCCACAACGTTCCACATATAGGCAGGCTCTTTCCACAAGCGCTGAGTGTCCAGCATAAAACTGGGCATGCACCACCGATCCGTGAAACTCATTCTTCTGATACACCTGAAGCGTGAATTCCGAGTTTTTATGCTGGTGTGGTCTTGAAACAACTTAAAGCAAAATGCAACGATCTCCGACCACTGGCCAATAAAGCTCCTTGAAAGGTGCTTCTCTTTAAACGAAGCATTTACTCTCTGTGAACCTCAGTCACCATCCTTCTCACTTTTACTGGCATTCCGGATGTTCTCCAGGTTGAAAAGTACCCAAACTAACTCCTATTTCCATTCCACATCCACCGCCGTAAACTGTTCTTCATATCTGTACTCTTCATATCTTTCGATTTCTGTTGACCCGTTGACTGCCCAACTTAACCAAGGCCGCGCGCCGTAAAGAGGTCGCCGCCCAGGGCGGGCCTCAACAGCGAGCCGACCCAGCACAAGCGCGCCACAACCCGCGGACCCTCACTCTCCCTGCACTATCCTTTGGAGCGGCTGAGGCGATGACTCCAATAGAAAATGTAAACGTTGTGGTTCTGGCGAGCCCAACGAGGTTCGGACTAGCTTGTAGATTGTCTATGTGGTGTCGCCTGACACCTTCGATTCTCCAAAGTGTCAGTGACCCAAATTATGTATTTAAATACAGTAGTATATATATATATATAAATATAACGTATATGTATATATATATATAAAGGCTCACTCCCCCTTTCGTTGTCTCCCTTTTCTTCGCAAAACCAGGTTTGTCAAAAATGGATAGAGGATAAATACGAAAATTCCGATCAAGACCTCTCTCGGGTCCTTACGTCCCCCCTAAAAATGCTTCCGCCAAACCGGAAGAACATTTTTAGCTCAAGGGACGGTGTTCCGCCACGTTTATGTCCCTCCGCCAAACCGAAGAGACATAAACCTCATGGCGGTTTTAAAAACGCTGGTTCGCTCTCTGCGCGAAACTTTATTTCCTCTTGTTTCTCTTATCCTTGGCCTTCTTTTTGGCCTTCTTTCCACTGCCCCCTGTCCTGCCCTTTTGAAGGGCAGGCTCAAGCGACGGAATGACACTCTTCTTCGAATTCAAAAATTGGAGAAGGTAGCGTTTGATCAGACTAGTACGAGGTACTCGCATCTCTGCGAGGGCTGCTAAACCACTATTCACATAGGTCCGGGCCGTTTTTGCGGCTTGCCAACGACCATAAACGAGAAGTCGGTCGAGAGAACCCCATCTCTGGAACCACCATGTGGCCCCACCTCTCCTTAACGAATACGGCCTAAAGCCCAGCTCTCCTAAAGCTTCTGTAGTGGCATTAAACAATTTTCGCCATTGACTAGGCGACGGGCAGAGTTCTTTCCGAGCCGACGAGTCACGAGTCCAAGCATAAAGCCAACGTAGTGGTTCCTCGACTGTCAAAGACACAGATTCTGACGCTCCTTGCCGCTTACCTCCCTTAGTCAGACCCAAGCTAATGACAGCAGGTCCTTGAGCAGTGTGCATGCTGACATCGGACGACTTCATGCTTAAAATCTCTCCCGTGCGTAGGGTTCCGTAGAATCCCACGAGGAGGGAAACCGCAAACAAATACTCATGCTGAGTAATTGCAGAACCCACCATCATGTGAAGGGCCTCTTCTGGCAAGGGCGAAGGCCTGTTTGGTATTTCGTTCACGCTCCACGCCTTCAACAGTCTCCATGTGCCATGCAAATGTCCTTTGACCTGCGGCTGGGCATCCTGTAGCGCAGCAACCGTGTCACTGGCTTGTGCTCGTCCGTGGCCTTCACTCCATACATCCTCAATGTATTGTTGTAGAAGGACGTCCAACCCGGAATGAGACATGGGGATCTGGCGCCCTTCTTCGCGTAGAAAACTCCAGAAACCTTCAAGTGCACGATTGTATCTGTCACGAGTACGGGGTTGCACAGTGAGAGACTGTAGGCTCCCCAAAGCCGCTCTTTGCCGCTTACGCTCTTCCTTAGTGCCTCCTTCAATCATTACTTTGCCTACTTTACCCATCGTTTCTTTGCTGGTCTCCGGCTGGGTGCATCAGCCGGGTTCAGGGATGTATGCACATATGCCCAATGGGCTTGATTTCCGGAGGCTAGAAGAAGAGCGTTAATCCTCATGAGGGTTCTGCGTAATTTGCGGCTACTGGATCGTCCTCTTGCAAGACTGTGTAAGCATACGAGTGAATCAACCAGGTGCACGAATCTGCTCTGAAGCCACCCTTTCTTACCAATGCGCCATCGAAGAGTGGTATACACTGCCCGGAGTTCCAGACTGTTGATGTGTTCTTGCTGTCCACTCCAGCGCCACCCGCAGATGGTCCGCCATCGCCAAAGGTTTGCGGGGATGCTTGCTCGGAGACGATGATATCGCACAGGATCTTCCGTTTGTGCCGGCCAACTTCCGCACGAGGACAACGTCATCTCCCTGGCTGGTCGCCCGATGAGGGGTACGCATGAAAGGGCGAAGAAGGAAACTTTGCAAGCCTTGGCCACCTCCTGGAGAGCACTGCTGCATCACCTGTTGCAGACTGAACTGCGGTGCCAACCCGAGCATCCCACATAGTTGTCCCAACAACCATGCTATCACGAACACGTTCCAACTGTTCCCAACGAGGGTGAGTCGTTCATCTTGCCATGCCTGAGTCTTTTGAACTGCTTTTGGGTAGCAAGCCACGGAGTACCCTTTGGGGAAACCCATCAACACCTCCTGTTCCTCACAAGACAGGAGGCGTGTGTTGTGGTGTTTGTCTTTGACGCGAAACTTGGTCTGGTACTGGTAAGGGGGGAAACGGTGAAGATCCTCCTCCCAATCCTTCAGCTCCTTCTCGGTGCATTGACCAACTCCTGCGGGTTTCCGTCCAGGCCGCGTTCGAGGTCGTGATGTAGTAAAGGTTGGGAAAGGCTCGTCAGAGCACTTGCTCCATCCCGCCTCCAGGAAGCAGTTGATATCATAGGAATGTTGCATCTGAACCTCTGTAATTGCCTCCCATCCATCCCCACGGGGTGAGGAGACCGTGACGCCCACTTCTTGTCGTAGCTCCCAGGTCGGCCAGAAAAGACGAGGGCGCCTGCATCCACAAAGGTTGACTGGGTCTATGAGGAAGGGGGTTGATCCCACTGATTCACTCATCACCGCCCTGTCCTTTGCATCCATGGACGCTACACTTTCCATGAGTCGGTGTACTTGCGCCCAGGGGAACTTCTGCCTCACGATGTCATGGATCCTCTCAACATGTGTGAACAAGCAACTGCGATGATCTCTCAATGCTCCGCGTCTGTCCGCGTTCAGGCCAGACACCCCTTGGCAAGGGGGGCCTGCCCCGATGATGACAAGTCCAACCTGAGAGTATTTGCACGCCCATTCACCCACCATGTCCGAGTCGACCTTCTCCACATCATCGACGAACAACGTAGATGCAAACCTGCTTTCCACACCGCGACATGCAGGTCCATGCTTCTCAATGCTGATGTGTCCTGCCACTGGTATCCCAATCGAGTCAGCCGCCACTCTCAATGCTCCCATGCCGTCGAAGAGTCCAATTGTCAAAACACTGGCCACCTCACTGGGTTCTACCACATCGCCTCGGACTGTTTGATTGGAGGCCATACAGCCCAAGCAGGAGAGGCCTTTGCTGGCTGTGATCCCCCCTCCCGTGCTGGACGCATCGCTGGCCGTCACCACACCTGAGAAGTTTGTACGGAAGTCCATGCGCGCCAGGGGTACCAAAAGGCAGAATCGCGCAATTTCGCTGCGCACCTTCCATGGTATGACCTGCAGCTTCGGCCCGTGGTCAAAACTGGTCACAAACTCCCATATGGCATTGAGAGTGCCAAGGAGTGGCCGTCTAAACATAGCCATGTAGACAAGTCCACCTGCAACCACCTGTGCCTGCTTCTGTGTACAGCGCTCTCCCTTCAAGAGGAGTACGCTTAGTTGCAAGTACTTCATGATTTTTTCCGCTCGTGGTCTCGCATGGCCATCAACAAGGGCTCCTTGCACATCTGCCTGGGTTTGCCTCTCAACAGCCTTCTTGGGGTGTCGTGGAATAGACAGTTCACCATAAACCTGCCTCAAGGATTGGGCCAAGGGAGTCACACTTCCTCGCAACACCTCTGCCATGCTGCTATTAACCCGTTCAAGCTGATCAAAGTTGTCGAGATATACTCTATGCACTGGGTTGCTGATTGGGAGGGGTCGGTCCTTACGGAGTTCGGACTCCCAGCCTCCCCTCAATCCTTGCCTTCTTGCCTCCTCCAGGGCCTTGCCTACCACCACCCGGTGTATGTGTTGTGCTAAAGAAACACTGTTGCAAAATCCCATAGGCAATACCAAAGATGTTAGGTAGCATGGTTCAGAATGACCTTCACAGAGATTCTCCGGAACCCTACGGGAAAAGGCGAGGTACGGTGTCCAGCTTTTCGGCACCCGGAACAGAAAAAAAGAAACACCGCACATCTTCACTGCTGATGAGTAGCGTTTCGTCCTGCTGGATCTGGAAGGCATTCATACTGGGCCAGCTTGGCAGAGTCGAAACGTCGCCTGTGATCGGTCGGCACAGCTTGTTCAATGGCAATAGATTCATGATGAGTCTATGAACCTCACGTCCCTGGTGTTTCTCTTCTTTCAATACCCCAAAGAGCCCGTCGAGCAATGGTTTGTTGTCAACCTTGTAAACTGCGCTTTCGGGGATCAAACCACAAATCCCTCGGGACAGGAGGCCGGCACAAAAGGTCTCCCATTGGTCCATCGGCACCATGACCTTGGGTGGCTTGGTATACACTTGAGCCCCCCTGGGAAGTAGATAGTCTTCGAAGTGCTGAACATAGTGGAGGCATCCAGATTCAACCACCTGTTCAAGGTCAACCGTCGCTACCTCGTCAGGAAGAGCTGGTGCAATGTTGTCCCAAGATGTTTGTTGCGCAGTCTTCACCTCTTCCCCCTTGTAGTCAATGCTTCTAACCTTGAGGAATTCCTTCCAGCTAAGGTTCTCAAAAGGTGGCAACTTGTCCAAAAACCTACTAACCTCCTCACTCAAAAGATGTAGTATGCGAACATGCAATGGTGAAATTCGTTGATCATGTAGGGGCTTGCAGTCATAAACGTCGTTCAAACTCCTAACCACTCCTCGCAGAACTGTCCTAAAATCCCGCGTCAAATGTGCAAACGACGGCTGGTTCAGGGCGATGTCGATGGGGAGAGGGAAAACCTCCCCCGGGGTCGAGGTCTTGCGAAGGAAACTCGACAACTCCCCCTCCAACCCTTCGACAACGTCAACGAACCGCAACCCCGCTAACTCTGTTTCTCAGGCTCGATGAGCTCTGTGTCACATAGGTTGCTGTCAGGGCTGGCACGCCCATCCTGCACTGTACCAACCAAAATGGTTGCATCCGGATGATCATAGTTTCCTCACCCAGGTAACGAATCGGCATCTTGCAAGGTGCACCCTTTCTCCCATCGTTGACCTCATAGTCTATGCGTTGAAGCTCAGCCTCGATGAAGGTCTCCGGCATCATCCCGAGAGGAGAACTCACTTGTCCTTCTCCCGTTCTCGGTCCCCTTTGCCTTTGCTCCCTTTCTCCTTCTTTCCTTTGCCCTTCGACTCTTCGTTCTTTGTCTTGCCCACATTCTTGCCCTCGCCTTTGTTGCTTGTCCAAATGCGCTGACTGGCCTGCTTGTTCTTCAACTCTTCCCTCAACTCCCGATTGGCGGATTTGCTTTCTTCGAGGTCCACCAGTTGAGATGCTTCCGCAGGAGTGAGTTCTAATTTCTGGGCAGAGGCCCAGGAGGTTCCTCCTCCCAATGTCTCCACTGACTTGAGGCGTTGGAGTATAGGATGTCTACCCCCAGCGCTGCCTGGCCCTCGAGGATGGCGTCCACAGCCGAGCAAATGTTCAGGCTCTCCCTGGCCAATGGCGGTGACAATCGCCCTGCTAGGACTTGGCGGTGGTATTGAAGGCATATGGCAGGTAGGGCTCCATCTCGAGGGGCAACTGGTAGGCCTTGGGCTGTCAAGAGGTACTTTGACATGTTCTGTATTGTCTGGCAGGATAGGGCTCCTGGCCCACTGACTGCTGCCCTCCTGATTCTGTGAGACTCCTCGAATAGCTCGTCCGCCACGCTCACCGACTTGCTGTCGCCACTGCATGCTGCTTTTCGAGGATGCCTCTGAGTCGTCCTTCTTCCTCCTCATAGCCCGTCTGGCCTTCCTCATGACAGCTCGTCGAATGCCTGCATCTGGGTCCAGGCCGGTGTACTGGAACAGCTGCTTGAGGTCTTTCTTTCCTTCTACTTTCCACGATTTGCCTTTCTTCTTCTTCTTTCTGTCCTTCTTTCTCTTTTTCCCCAGATAGCGAAGCTATGGGGTTCTTACTTCAAATAACAACGAGTTGCCCGTGCGCGCTTTCGAGACAGGTTGCTGGTGCTGGTGGAGACAGGTTGCTGGTGCTGGTGCTGGTGCTGGGTGCCGGTGCTGGTGCTGGTGGTGCCGGGTGTCGGCGCTGGGCGCTGGCTGGCTGGCTGTGCGCGTGGTGGAGACAGGGTGCTGGGCGCCGGTGCTGCGAGCTTGCTGCGCACGTGAGCTGGCTGCGCACGTGGTGGAGACATGGTGCCGGTGCCGGCTGGGTGCTGGGTGCCGGTGCTGGTGCTGTGAGGTGCCGGGTGCTGGCGCTGGCCGTGCGCGTAGTGGAGAGACGCCACGCTGTAAAAATTGGAGCTGTTGCCAATGCAGGGTGCAGCCTAGAAAAATCTTTTGCATGCTTTTGCTCTCTGGGGTCTATGCTGGAGTATTTCTTTTTCTTCTTTTTCTCCTTGCTGGAATCCGACGTGCTCGAACCGGTCGAAGTCCCTGCTCCCCTCGCGGCTTCTTCCGCGGGAGCCCCGGTGCCTTTTCCTTTTGCCTCCCTGGCTCTTTTGTCTGACTCTGCCGCGAGCTTCCTCAACACCTCTGCTTCGGCCGCTTCTTTCAGGTTGTGAGCCCATGGGGGATCTCGAACTCCAGCAATCGCATCTTCTTCACGTGGATCAAGTCGTCGCTCTGAGGACTGTTGCTGCATCTTTCGTGGCAAAGGTGTGCGCGAAGTACTCGATCGTCATCTGCCGTGAGCCACTTGAGAAGTTGCTCGTCCGGAGTACCTGTGACCCTGTGACCCTGAACGTGACTTCGGTCTGTCCAGCCTTGAGTGCAAGACCCACGAGTTCGACAGCGGCCTCGATGGCCTTGTCCCAGTACAACGCCTCCACGTTGAACCTCTTGCCAGGGACCAGCTCGGCCACCGTCACTCCTCCTGCATTCACCCATGCTCCCGATGCAAGATCCTCCCTTGCAGGAGCAGGCTCCTCTTCTGCTGCCGGTCTGTGCCTCACCCGTCGTCGATCTCGGCCAACTGCCACGTCTGCCGCAGGCCGTCTCTTTGGTGCCATCCAATCACCAATGCTTCTTGTAGGCCAGGTACTCCTTGAACTCGAGCTGCCTGCCTACTTTCTTCACTCCTTTGTTTGTCCAATCCGGTTTGTACCCTCGCCCTGCAGGGGGGGTATCCAGACCAGCCTCTCCCACGGCCTCGACCTTTGGCCGGTGGGGGATAGTCGGGGCTTCTGGGCTTCCTCTGAATTGACCTGCTAACTCTCTGAGTAGGCCGTGGACGATCTTGAGGGTGAGCCGAAGATGAATGACCCTAACGAGCACGCTCAACCTCCTCTGTGTCGTCGAGCTGTTCCTCGTCTCTCAGGCTACGCTCACTCTGCTCTCGTCTTCTCCTCCGCCTCCGGGACCGTGATCTTGTTCTCCTGGACCTTTTCCGATCTCTCTCACTGGGTGAACGAGGAGATACAGGTTCTTTCTCCTCCCGTTCGTCACCCGCCTTGTCTTCTTCCTCTGATGCCTCCTTCTCGGTGCAGACCTTCTCGGACTCCTCAACCTCCAACTCGTCACTTGCTGGCTTGACCTCTGGTTTTCCAATGCAAGCAGACTTGGGAGCGGTTGTACGCAACGCCGCTTCCTCGGTGTTGAAGGCACTGTCCTCGCTGGGCTCCTGCTTCGACCTATGGGTGTGCTCGCCACCTGACTGATGCTGTCGGTCTCCTCGGCGCTCTCGATGGGATCGGTGCTTTTCCTCCTTCTTGACCTTGGGTGCCTCTTCCTTTCTGCTATAGATGCCTTGTCTTCTTCTTTCCTTTCAACGTCGGCTTCACCACTCGCCGACTCCTTGACCTCCCTCTCAGACACCCTCTGAGGAGGTCGATTCGCCTCAGGAGGTGCCGCCCCCGAAGCGTGAAAGCTGTCGCCCCAGTCGCAGAGCTCTCCAGCCAAGACCGTCAGTCGATCCGCGGCGAACGGAACGTACCCAGGTTTCGGCGAGTAGTCCGCGATATGGCGGCAGATGCGCTTCAAAGTGGAGCACACGCCACAGCGGCAATGCTGGACGTGGCCCCACATTCGAAACTGAGCCGGAGCTGCGTGAAGACACCGAATTCGGGGGGATCACCTTTAATTACGGGGACGCAGCATCATTGTAAGTCGGACATAGTGGGACCAGTTGTGGTTGTCCTTGTCTTCTGCAAAGACCAATTGGAATGCACAATTCCCCTATCAAAGTGAATCCTCTGTGCTTGATGTCCTGCTACCCACCCCAAGCATGTCAGGGAAGACCGTTGAAAGTAGCGGCCAAGCGAATGATGAAAGGACTTTGGGTCATCCGCAGCACGTTCTTCTCATTCAAGACACTTTGCTGCTGCCTCAGCGAAACCGTGATCTCTATTCTTTGGCTGATCCAAAGTCATTACATGTCCTTACATCTCAAAAGGCCAATCTCAGGATCGTACCCTCGCTGAACGATGAAACCTCAACGCAACATCAACTACCCCAATGGGTGGTCTGGCTAAGCCGCATTTATAACGCCGAGGCTGTGAAAACACCCTCCGCGGCCCTATATCATAATGTCACACTCAAGAAGAAGGACACACGATCCACAGCGAATTTGGGGAAGCAACTGCTTTCAAAGCATCAAGCCTTTCGAGAGGGTCTTCAGGGCAAATATTTTGTCCGTCAAAGTGCACCTTGCTGGGACAGCTGGACCAATAACTCCAGAACATTCATTCCCGTGCTTTGGATGACCTAGGAATTCCCGTCGATTTCAGTATCTCAACATTTCTCAACTGTTATGACTATGTGACATTATGTGATAATATGTGTGTACAGAATTGTGCAGATGTGTACAGTATATGTGCCCTTGAATTGGATGTCTTCGATTTGTGTGGAGCCCGCAAACAGCTTGCTCCATTGGCATGGCCCATGGCCTCTGGAGTGTGACGGTCCCGAATCCACCACATCCTGTGGGCAACAGGTGAAACAGGGGCGACGCTGGGCAACCCGAATTCTGTCGGACCATTCTGAAATGAACAAATGCAACGGTGGCACCACTCTCTCGGACCATCGAGAAACATGGTTTCCTATGTTTTCCTTTTTCCATTCTCAAAAAAAACACGAGAACCAACGCTCTGGAAGGCCAAGCGGTTGCCCACTATTTGGGCCCAACTTTAAAGTTCGACATGGCAAGTCTGTGGACAGCCACCCGGAGCCCAGTTCAACCCAGCAATACTTTGTCATTCGCGCAGCTGCATAGCTCCCACGACTCCATAGATCTACGACTCAAAGGATGTTGCCAACTGAGCCTCCGACCAATCAAGCCAATCTGCTTGAGTGCACGCAACTCATACTTCACCATGGCTTTAGGGCCTTGACTTGTTCCAGTCATACGTATCTCAAGAGATTTAAGCTCCTGAAGGCCACTTTACCATAGAGGACACCATTTTGAAAACAGTTCTTCGAGTATCCCTTTTGCTCCCTGACAGCCAATAATGTTTAAGGAATCAACATGAACCACACACACAGCATACACGGCCTTATGTTTAGATCCCTCTTTCCATCAACAACCCAGGGGGAAAGTCGGATCCGCATCTCTGGTGCGTCAGCTCTCTTCTTGAACAGTGGCCAGCCACCGACCAAGGGCTGAGGCGCGAACTCATGCCACCTCCGAGCTCGTCAGGATGCCTAGATCCGCTCAGGATCGGGTGGTGAAACCCTATCTTTTTGCGCACAGAGTGGCGATCTAAACCCTTATCTTTTCTATCCATTCTTCAATGCCATACACGACTTCGTTGCTTCAGAATGCTTCAAACCCCAACATAGGGGTCATATGGCGCCATCGATTTAGCGCATTGCGGCCTTATGACCTCCTAGCAGTTGGCCTTCAGCTTCCCAAGACAGTTGCTGCCTTGATATTGGGAAGATACTGCAACCTTTTCTTCCTCGTGCTCGAAGCGCGTCAAGCCCGAATGCTCCCATGTACCTGACACCTAGATGTCTCAAATCCCAACCTGCGTCACTGGCTTCAAAGACCCTTAAACGCCTGAGATGACAAATGTCTGTGTCTCAGTCGCTGGCACCACACTGAGGAAATGTTCTCCTTGCCACTTCCGGCCCGGAAAGACGAGTTGAACGAATGTCGCGGAGCGCCAAATTTATGTCCATTGAAGCAACATGAAGGAACCTCTACCACACATCACCATGCTGGGTTCCTCAGGGAATGGCGAGGCTACGTGCCAACCTGTGGACTGCAAAGCTAGGCTGAGGCCCAGGCGGTCCAATGCTAGAACCCTTACCTCAGCTCGGGGAAGTGACGGTGCTTGCGCACATGTTCTCGGAACCTTGGCATGTTTTGCTAATACTATAACAAATAAATCTATATAAATATGTGATCTGCGTGTACATACTTTATGCGTATACGGTATATTGGTTACTGGTAAATATTGAACCACACACACAAATACACAATCATACATAGACAATATGATGTGCAAAGTGATTTCCCGACAAAATCTTGTCTGCTGCCAGGACCTTGGATATCCACAGGATTCCTTGGATATCGATAGGATTCCATAGGTATACCTACCTTCTGTGCAAGCTTTAAGCTGCTGGTTCCACACACGTTGCAAGGTTCCTCGCCGTTTCAGACTAAGAGGTGGACTTTGGGGGTCGTAGCAATGATCGTGGCCGCACGCGGCTCATCCTGGGGCTTGCGAAGCTCTGTCCACCAGTGTGAAGTTCAAGGAGTCACTTACAAAGTGTTGTCAACATCGAACGAAGATGACGCGAGGTCAAAGACTAGCAACGCAGGAAGCGAGTCAGTACATGTCTCGTTTCACCATCACAAAGGAACACATTTTACCAATTTCTCACTCCCCGCTCCAAACACAAACCTAGGCAAACGATCAATCCGTTCTCGTTGGTCGTGTTTTTTTATGGTCCAAATCGCCCAGCTCCCAGCCGAGCGCCCGACAGTCAGGAGCGCCCGCTCCCCAAAGAAGTTGGCGGTGGAGCTCACGGCATTCTCAGCGACGCGTTGGAGGCGGCATGACTGGGAACACGGGGGAAGCTCTGTCACCCCTGCCATGATGTTGCTGCGTCCTGCGCCTATTTCTGGGCTCGTGAAGATACTGGTGAGGATGTGTGTTTTGACGGGAGTTGTTGATTAAATCCGACGTGGAACAACATCATGCACTTTCAATCGAGGCTTCGATCCCCCTCATTCGGCTCACACAACTCCACAAACACCGAGATTTTGCAGAAATCTGGGCCATCCTTCTGAAGATTGCTCGAAAACGGGGATGGGCCGGGATGGGCCTAAAGTTGCAGCCGAGCATCCATTCTGAACCCTCTAAAGTCCAGGGAGGCACTTTAAGCCGAAACCAACTTCTCTGCCTTTATGTGCCAATTGATTCCAACTGCGCGCCACATTTTGACGAGGAACTCGTGGACCCCCATGTTTTTGCTGTACATGGATGCAGTGTTGGGCAGTACCCAACTTCCACCAGAAACCATACTATAGCCGCAAGATAGCCCCACCTGGAAAAGATTTTTCCAACCTTGTTCTAGGCAAGTGCAAGTTTGCACTTGCCTAGGTTATTGAATGCGCGATGCCTAGGCATGTGATTGATCACCGCAGCATTTGCGGCTGCAAAGCCCTGAAGAGTCCAAGGGGGACGAAAGCTAGGCATTTAATACCTTGCTGCAGTCGTAGAAAAGCTGCGTTGGGCTTGAGCGACCTGTTCTAAAGTTGTGCTTTGCTAACTTGAGGCGCTCGCCATGTCAGATCTTTTGAGCCATGGGCTTTTGGCATCTGCTGGGGTGGCAGGCGCTAGTTCTGCTCAGTGCGGTTCAGGGATTGCGGCTTTTAGGGATTCACCAAGAACACCTGCCCCGTCTCGGTCCACAGCTGCTGGAAGAGAAAGAGCTCCAAGTCTGGAAGGATCAAGGAATGGAGTCGAAATGCTGTTGCTGGAGCAGAACCAGTTGCTAATGAAGCAGGTTGCTTTGCTCCAGTCTCAGGTGCAGAGTTCGCAAGCTCGCTCTGAAGCAATGAGTGTCCAAGAAGTTGCACAAAGCAAATTGTTCCAGTCTCACACTCAATTGCTCGAGGGAGTCGATCCAGCCTTGCAGAAAGTTTTTCTGGACTTTGAGAAAGAAGCTAAACACGTGTTTGAAGCCTGGGAAACGCAGAAGAAGTTGTTTGAGAAGTACTCCAAGTTGAATGAGGAAGGACGTTTGCACAATCATTTACAAGCCGAGGCTGATTACAAATGGCAGTGGACCAAGCTGTACTTAGCCAAGGCTCAACCAGTGTCCGATGACCAAGACATGGTGGAAGATGGCTACAATGTTGCAGAGGATTGGGCTCGTATGAGGCGCAGGCATGCTGAAGAATGCTTCGAGTTGATTTGCAAGCATCAGAAGCAGTGTGTTGCTTTGTATGAGCAAGAGGTTTCCTTGGCGGTTTTGCAGCAAAAGTTGACTGATCGTTTGGATGCCTGGTTTGCGGAGCAGGCATTTGATGATTTGGAGGTACAGAGAGTTTTGAAACAAAGGGCTTGTCAGTTTGTGCAGTCCTTTGTTCGAGCCACTAGGCCCAACATACAAACACGGATGGCCAAAGACAAAGAGCAGCAGCAAAAACGAGAGCAAGTGCTTTTAGAAGCAAAAAGCAAGTGGGAAGAGATGGACGTGAAGGATGTTTTGTCTCCAGCGTTTTTGGAACTCTTGGACGCAAAGCAAAAACGGTCATGCAAAATCAAGGAAGATTCAGCCCTGGCCTTTCTGGTGAAGGACAATGAAGAGCTTTGTCGAAGACACAATGTGAAAATTGTCTCAAAAGCGGCCCGTTCTTCCAAAAGGGCACCTACTCCTAAGAAAGTCCCTGGGAAGATTAGAGGACGAAGCCAGCAGAGAGGTTCTAGCACTCCCCGTTCAATTCTGAAATCTGCAAGTCGTTCTCCATCGAAGCCAGCAAGATCGTCAAGTGGTGAGAGAACTTCGTCAAAGAGAGTCAGTTTTGAAGGGAACAGTGGTGGCAAGGGCAAAGAGAAAGCGAAAGGCAACGGCAAAGGCAAGGGCAAGCAGAAGCGAAAATAGCATATCGTAAAAGAGGCCGGTGTTACTGGCAAGACGCCGACTGCTGTAGCATTGATTTTTACAAGTTCTGTGTCGTGCAAACTTTCAGAGCTCGTTTTTATTCTTTGTTGCACAGGCAGGCTTACAAAGGAGTTCACGATTTAGTTCCTTCAGATGTGCTTTGTGTCCCAAAGTTTGTCCTCCTGCATGTTGCAAGAAGTGGCAAGTTCATTCCTACAAGGAAAGCTACCAATGTCAAAGGCATTTTGGCGGGCTTGGATGCTTTGAAGCGGCAGTTGCTTCCTTGCAGAGTCTTTCAAGGAACTGCTGCGTGCGTGTCAAAATGTCGTTTGAAAAGCACGTGGCAGCCACCAGGCAGTGCAGGCGTTGACGCCTTCGTTCGGTTACTCTCTCATGAGCTGACCCAGTTTGAACCTAAGACCTTCAAATCCAATCAGTCTTGGTTTGACAGAAAAGCCAAGGCCTGGTTGCGACAACATGCGAATTTGGTTGCAGTTGTGGATTGCGACAAAGGGCTCGGAGATTGTTTAGTTCTTCGGTCATGGCTTGTTGAACAAGTTCAACTTCAATTGGCTCAGGGATATGTACAGTTGAGTCCGGTGGAGTTGCAAAAGAAAGTTGCTGAGCTAAAGTTCGGCGCTGATGCCATGGTGCAGTTTTTCTTTTCTTCTGGTGTGCTTTCTTTGGCTGAGCGGGATTTTCTACTCAGCAAGTTTCAGGTAAGTGCTGTTGGAATCTTCCGCATTTTAGTTAAGGTGCACAAGCAACCAGTTTCTTCCAGGCCAATTTGCAATGTACGTAACAGTTGGTATGGACCTTTTTCAACTTTTTGGTGGAGCGTTTGGGGCCACTTATGCCTCAGTTGGACTCTGTCAATGTTTCTTCAGACCAACTTTTGCAGCAGCTGAAACCGCTTCGGTGTGATGCCGCTATGAGATTTGTCACGCTTGACATTGTTAACCTGTATCCTTCGGTGGATAGGAAGCATTTGATGTCTATTGTGGGCCCTTTTGTGAGGCAATCATTTGACCATTCAGCGTTGGGAGACTTCATTGTCAAAGCTTTGGAGTTGGTGCTGGAAGCTTGCGTTGTTTCTTTTCAAGGGCTTCTTTTTGAGGCGCAAGATGGCATTCCAACAGGTTTGTCAGTTGCTGGCATTCTCGCAAACATTTACTTATGGCACTTTGACCGGTACATGTCACAAATGTGTGGCTGCGATTTGCAGATCCTCAGAAGGTACATTGATGATCTTTTGCTTCTGTGGGCTGGTGACGTGCAAAGTCTGGTTGAAAAGGCAGAAGGTTGGCATCCTTCTTTGAAGTTTCAGGTTTCTGGTGAAATGGAAGTTCCCTTTTTGGACTTTCACCTCAGCATTCTGCCCAATCGGCGTGTGCATTGGAAGCTGTTTGAGAAACCCCAGAACCTGTATCTTTATGTGCCGGCTTTTTCGAATCACCCTGCCAGTACTTTTGCAAGCCTGCAGCTAGGAGGAGCGATTAGATGTGAAAGGCGGAACCGTCTTTTTTCTGACTATGCTGCAAGCATTCGGTCTTTCAGGCGTCGTTTGAAAGATAGGGGCTTTGACCTTGCTGGCTTTGATCGTTTGTTAGCTCGCTACAGAGCAAAGCGGATGAGAAGGCATGCTGCACCTGGTTTGGTACGGAAAGCCTTTTTGAAGCTGCCATACAACAAAGACATTTCTGCCAGTTGGGTTTCCCAAAAGCTCCGACAATTTGAGCCATTGCTGCGCCAAAGTGTTCCAGCATTGAAACTCACCACAAGCTGGAGCGTTGGGCGCAGCTTGTTCCAAAGTCGGTACAAGCAAGTTTGGAAATTTTTGGTCTAAGGGTTTGGCTGTGGGAGGGACCAAAATTTTTTTCATGTCCAGTTTGCACTTGCCTAGGTTATTGAATGCGCGATGCCTAGGCATGTGATTGATCACCGCAGCATTTGCGGCTGCAAAGCCCTGAAGAGTCCCAAGGGGGATGAAAGCTAGGCATTTAATACCTTGCTGCAGTCGTAGAAAAGCTGCGTTGGGCTTGAGCGACCTGTTCTAAAGTTGTGCTTTCATTCCAGCTTTTCCCAGCCGCAGTCGCTCTGCTCCTAAGATTGCGACCCCCTCCAAGTGAGTGACCTCCTGGCCGTCCACCACCACTGAGACCTGACGGGGCAGTTTCTGCGCTGCTCAGAAACCTCCGGGCGAAGCCGCGTGGAACCGATGACAGTTGACCCATGTTCCACTGGGTTGCCTTCGTGGGAGCCAGCTTTGGACATATCATTAGTCAAAAGGAGGAACAATGATGAGCAAACAAACACATATGCAAATTTCACCAAAATAACACCGTGCCTGTCCATCATAGAGGATATAGAAGGTGTCTCCTTCCTCCCCTTGCCTCCGGCGCTGGCTCAGATCAAACAATGCTCCTAACCCATGGCACAGCAAGTCGCATGTTTGCCGCGTGTTGCTGAGGATCTGTACTGGGAGCAATGCCCTTGTTACTAGTAGCGATGCCCTTGCTCCTAGTAGCGGCCTTGCTCCTAGTAGCGATGCCCTTGTTACTAGTAGCTTCTTGTTCCTAGTCGTAATGCCAGGAGCTACCAGTAGCGTCCTTGTTACTGTTGGATAAACAACACTTGAGAGCCCGAATCTCCTACTAAGCCCATGAGCTCAAGCCAAGTATCATGCTCGGTGTCATCAGTCAGTCGAGGCCCACACTGGATGATAGTCTCGCCACGGTAGAAGGTCATCCTCAAACCCAGCGGGCTGAACATTCAACTTCCTATCAAGCTCGTTCAAACTCTTATTCCTGCAGGAGAGGCATTGAAGGAGCAACTGCCTTATGAACTCCACCCGATTTAGAGGTGCCACCGGGTTCAACTTGCTAGGCCTTGGAATGTCCACTATTCCAGGAGAACTATACTATAGAGGGGCTGTTGATGCAATCCAACAGTTCCACTTTTGGAGGGTCGCCCGGTCAACATCCAAAAATCATCTCCAAAAAGAATCAATCAAATCCTAGCAATCCAAACAGCCCGCCCCGACAAATGCAGTTGATAACATCAACTTGGAACCGAAGGAACGTGAAGAGTCCCTCTCTTCACACGAACGTGACAGCCAAGTTCCCCCAGGGTCCCCAGCTCCACGAGGACATTGGCCAGTTTGACCTATCAAGAAAATCTCATCATGAACCATATCCAAATAAACTTGTGTATATATATATATGGTGGTTGATCAATATTCTTTCATCCTGGAATGGCCATTCATCGCGGAAAAAAAGATATCTTTCGCAGATCTTTCGCGGCCTCATCGCGAAGCATGGTCCTACAACCATGTCTAGCTAACATGAGCCGGAACATGTCATAGTATCACAAAATAGGGAGAGACATCTTGCCGCATGACCCCTGCAGTAGATGGTTGACGTTTCCACAGCTACTCAGGAGTCCGGCGCAACTCAACCCAATCCTCGCGCCAGCTACCAACACAGGGTGATGCAGCTTGGGGAATGTTGGGGGGCCTCAAGCTGGGAACCTAGACTTAGCGGCACATTCGCGAAACTTTCGCGGATCTTTCGCAAAATTTCACTGGTGCTTTCCCCGGGAAGCCGTAACATTTGCAAACATCTGCACAGCTCGTCAGAGCAGCTGCAGGTCGTTGCCTCACTGTCAGGGCTGTGCCTACCCAGATTGCTAGTCTGTGACAGTGGGGACAGGAATCGGAGAACCCTTTACGCACTGCCAGGGCTGGGCACGGAAATGTTGAGGCTTCAGTTCGTTAGTCTGTGACATATGGGGACACTTCCTCCCACTGGCTCTGCCGGAGGATTGCCTTGCGTTTCTATTCTTTGTCAGTCCGGTAGAAAGGAAAACAATGAAAGCGATGACCTTCGATAAATCTTTCGCGGAAAAAAAGATACTTTCGCGAACCTCATCGCGAATCTTTCGCGGATGGTTAGGCATGTCCAATAGCCTCTGGAGACATGTTCTCGATTAGTAAGGGCGCTTGACTTCCAGCGCCCTTGGGACCTATGCCAGGGAACATGTTAGATAGAGTATGATAGAGTGGTGTAGCTAGAGTGAGCTGACCACGAGACACTACACATGATCTCGCAACACTGCCGCAACTCAAGTTTTTTCACCCCCTTTGCCCAAGATCTTGGTTGACCGCCAGGCATAGTCACCTGCACGCGGTTGGTTGCGCAAGCAGAGAAACATATACAATTCACCCAGATTCACCCTGTGGTTTGAGTGGTTTGATCAAAGTGACCGGAGGAAGGTTGAGTGGCAGTTGAGTGGACATCTTCAAACTAAAGTATGATTTATACATACCCTTTTTGGGAGATGAAATGGACCTAAAACCTTGCACAAGACAGAGACAGATTACACCATTCACAGCTGCCAGTCCACTGCCAGTCCACAGTCTGATAACTATGAACAATGAAACAATGAACTAGCTACCAGTTGATTCGATCGTTTGGTGGCTGTTTTGATGAAAGCTGGGGAGTTTTTGATTCAAGGACCAGTGCAGGTGTCACATGTTGAATCACTGTGCCAGTCAACGCTGTGGATGTTGCTGAAGTCAACTAGAGCACCAAGTGTTTCGCATTCCTGTTCACGCGAACTCGCTTGGCGTCAGACGGCCCCTCCACTGAAGAATTCTTTTTCGACTTGGCCGCAGCACCAAATCCAAGGCAGATCTTGTCCATTGCAGCTGGCTGTGTTGCGTCATACTTCCGCTTGGTGCCGCGCTGCTTGCTTGCTTCGGAATCTTCATATGGCCTTGGAACTTCATGGAACATTGGAACATTATGGAACATTGTACCTATGAACTCTGGACTCTGTATATAAGTTATATATATATATAACACCAACAGGCTGCGGGTCCTGTTTCAACAAAGCAACAAAAAACAAAGAACTAGAAAACAATTGTGGGGTTGGGCAGGTTGGTCTTCGAATCTGAGGTGTTTAGTGGTTTGTGTTTACAGCTAGACAGGCAGTTCTAACTTGACAAGATGTAAATGCTCTCTCATCAACACTGCATAGATTTTGTCGCCAATCTTTTTCACCACCACTGGTGTTTGCTCATGCTGATTGAACTTCAGGTAGCTCTTGGCAAAGCGGATTGTGTGGCCATTGTCGAGCTTGAAGAGCGAATAGTCCTCTTCTCTCTCATCGGAGCAAAACACCATAGTAGGTAGCTCAATCTCAGTCGGCGGAATCATCCATGCAGGGCACACAACTTCCCCTTCGGTGCTGTGAAGGTTCTGACCCGAAAGCCAAAAGGAAATTGATGCAGGCCCTTCTGCAAGAGTCAATGGTACGCCTGCCAGAGTGTTTCAGGTATAGCTTGTTCAGACTGTTTGTAGGACCTTTGTCATTATTGGTCTCTATTAGTGGTTACCGGTTCCAACATTCAACAAATAACAGGCTTACTTAATTCAATCCGACCCTTGTGCACAGTGCACATGAAAGAACGCAAAGAATAAGAGGGTGAGAACAACAACATCACTCACAACATTGCTACCGAACGCCGACCCAGGCCTACTGGAGATCCATTCTGATTGTCGACCTTCATCTCGATGGCGTAGATGGTCTTCGGCAGTTTCTGATTGGCAAAGCTTGGTGGATGCGTGCCTTGACAATACATGTGTCAATGTCAATGTGTGTGGAGCAAGTCAAAAAATAACATATATGTTATTGAAACACATTTGACCCACACACACACACACGTCACTGTCACTACAACCAAACACACAATAGAACAGTGCAGTGCAGGCCACAGTTACATGCACATGCTTTCAAAAATTCTTGTGAAGTACTGGGTTTGCTATTTCAATGTAGGCCAAGCATAGTAGTCGTGAAGTCGTGTAGTCTTTGGGATCTTGAATGTTTACATCTTGACATCTTGGGACCTTTTGCAATGCGTGGTTGAGATGTTGGTGTTGGTATTGGTAGAATGAACAAAAATATAGATTGATACACTTAGTATGCTGACAGGCCCACATGAAAAAAACAACAAATCAACGTGTGTGTGTCTCCGAGAAGCAAACTTCGCCCCAGAAGTGTGTTCTGAAGTCTCGGCGGTAATGTTCACCCATCAAGTTGGACAAAATCTCCTTCGTTGGTACGTTTGGCTTCAATGTATCCAACAGACCCATGGTGTAATCGTTCATTTCCAGCTCCAAGAGAACTTCTGTCTTTGTCTCAACCTTGTTGCCTTTCTCCTGCCGGCTGACATAGAAGAAGATCTTCTTGTCGACTTCACTGTCAATGTCGAGCTTCCTGCTGTTGGAACATCACAACAAAGCAAACATGTAAACAGGTATCAGGTATCCTGATTCTTGAAGACCTGAAGTATCCTGAAGTGAACTATGAAGCCTGACCACCTGACCGCTTTCTAGCCACACACAGTCTAGTGTCAGTCTCTCTCTCTCACTCTCTCTCTCTCTATTTCTCTCTCTGGCTTCGGGTTCAAACACGTTTGGTCAACAACACTCTACAGTCCTGCAAATGCCAGTGACGTTGGCTGCCAAAGTTGCCTTCAAGACAAACAGCGCGTCCGATGATTTCAACATAGTGGAGCAGTCACCATCTGCGTTGTAAGCAGTATTGATACCAAATGCAGAAAGGGTAGGTTGCGATGTCAAAGTGGTCCCCACCTCGTCACCATCGGTGACACCATCGGTGGAGACTGCCGAGGGCGCTGCTGCGACGCCACTGGAATCACTCTTGATCTTGCAGTCATGCGCAACCTCTGTG